TGAATTTAACATAATTTATCCCTGAAGAATCTACATGTATGGAACTTCACAGTTGAAGCTGTACATTTATGAATTGCATGCAAATAATGATTATTAAATTGAAAAGATAAGATTACTTTGCACTGTTATGAAGACAATACACTCAGATCATGACAATCAAATTTTCAGTCGTTTAATAGCTGGTTGGACCTTTAATATTTATTTTAAGTTGTACAAGTAAGTAAAGTATGTTTAGTTTACAGTGCAAAAGTAATGATTTTAAAATCTACAATGTACCTTTAGGCATAATTTTTTTCTACAAGCGAGTTCAGCAAAAAATAGTAACAGGTTGTGAAAGATGATGACTAGATGTTTACCTTGCTCATTTATTTTTGCACAGATTATTATTTTTAATACGTGCTCTTTAAGATTCCCATAATTTATAAATTTTTAGAAATATTAGCGTATTTTCTATTTATGACCCTTGATTACAATGTCTACGATTTCATGTTTGTTAAATGTATTCTAACTTAGTTATTTATGGTAATCAATTACACTGTAAAAGGCTTACAGTGGTTCCTGAAGTTCTCTGCTCAGAGTACTGCAGAAAAATAAACATGTTATAGAAATAAGAGAGGTTGTCAGAAAGTGATTGCAGCATGTTTTTATTGTTAGAAATGCAATTAAAAAATGGTACTCAACAAGATTATAGTCACCCTACTATTTTATTTCAAAGGCATTTTAAGCACATGCAACATGTATGGCAGAAAGAACACCACAAAAAAAAAACTACTCTCAGTTAAGTATACTGTTAAGGAGCTTAATGCAAATATGTTATTCCAATGATTTCAAATTAAGTTTAGTTTCTGTTCTTCATATGGTTCAAATTGAAGATTAGTCCTGAAGGAAATTGTATTCTTTCTACTAATTCTACAGTAAGGAATGGGTCAACTGTTATTATTACTCTAGGGCTAAACTTAATGAGTATTTTGTAGGGTGCATATACTCCAAAAAGGACTAAAATGACGATCACACAAAGTGTGACCTTCAAAGATGTCATTAACATTTGAAGCTGGCTACATAATGAAAGTACTGCGCAGTCATAGATCCTCAACTGGTGCTGCCTTCTTATGGCTGCTCTCAAGCATTAGAGTTTGTGGTCACTCCAGTTGCATGCACTTGTAATAGTCTGATACCAGTTATTAATGACAACCCTGGACTCTGCCTCAAGATACATTGTTTAGTCAACTGGTTTTGGTAATCTATTAGTAGTTTTCAGATAAGCTGCAGGACTTGGCCAGGTACACTTTATTCAATCAGGTGGTCAGGTACAGCTGTAGCTAAGGGTAAAAGTGGTGTGACTTCAGTGGTTACTGGTAAGACTACTTACTCTTGTTCTGCTCTCAAGTAGTGCTCCTTTCCCTTCTCGACCCAAGAGCAGGTCTTCTTCAGCCTATATTGAAACAAAAAGTAATATTTATCTTTGAAGGTACCAGTTTATAAT